GTTCTGAAGGCAAAAGGGGGTCCAACCCGTTACTAGCGTGGTGTACCTAATAAAGTGGCCGGTGAGTGTATATATATGTGGCATAGCATCTAAATTGGCCTCTGTCTCTTTAAGAATCTCCTACCATTTCCAACATTCCCATTTCAGTGCACCTTCACCACAATGCTTCATGCCGTTTACTCCCTTTAGGAACATTACATTTTGTTGTAAAAAACATTAGATAATATCGCTTTTGCAAAACAGCAAATCAAAATACAGATGAAACGTACTCGAATGGTCCCATGTTGGATGAGGAGTGAGTACAGATGTTTCAGCTTGGTTAAGAAGCATCTCCCAGTCATCCTCTCAAACATATACGTCAATGTTAAGATCATTTTTGCAAAGAAACTACAAATATAAATCATCGTGGACACGTGTTTTGCAATGAAATCATGAGTTTTTCTAATCTGGTGGAGCTGTGTGGGGGAGGAGCATAGGAGTAAATAGGCGGTGCTTTGTACCAACAAAGCAGCTCCGCATGGCTAGATTCAAAGATTTCTCAAACATGCATGAATGAGTCAAAGCAACACTCGGTATGGTTTTGTTGACGGAGTGACATTCACACACCCCTTAAAAACCGAAACACAAAGGCCAAGCTTTCTTTAATGGAATGCATATCACCCACCATGTGCAGCACTTGTTGTGAATTTATTTCTGTGAAAGATGCCATACAAATAAAATTTTACTGACTGACTTACTTAGTTACTTACTTACTTCTATTTTTCATCAAACACTCATAATCTCTTCACTTCTGTACTGTTGCGGCTGAAAACTGAACTTCTGATCCTCCTTTTGATGGACAACTTTCCTTCTACTGGATCAAGTCACTATTTACGAAGGGCGTATTTTTGTGTAATTTTCTGATTTTTAATAAATAGCTTTTTAAAAAAGGTAGCCATACGATGCTGTCACATTAAATAAATAATAAATGTGAGTACAACCAAATCAGACAGTCCTGCATACAAATCAAATGTCTCTAGTTATCTGAGATAATCACCCTGAACTCAAACTTTTCATTGTTTCCTTCTTTTAAAAAAAATCAGAAATATGCTACAGTTTGAATAAAACATGACTTAACCTTGACAAGTTCATTCTGACCTGGTTATCACCTTCCTGTTGCACTCTGAACGTCCATGCTGTCAGGGCAGGAACAGCAACACAACTGTCACATAATCTTTGTTTTGGATTATAAGCATTTTGTTTAATAAAGCAACAGACAGGAAGTTTGTGTTTATCTTGTACAGATTTGAGCTCTGATTCATCAAACACTTAAAGAAAACATGAAGTGCTCACCTGACAGGGTGCTTTCTGAGGCTCCTCTCTTTTTTTTTACACAAGATGTGTTCACAGTCAAACTTTCTGGTTGTGGTTTTCCTTCCTTCTCTCTCTCCCCTCTCACACTCACACACATACACACATTCACGCGCACGCCTGCATGGCTCGTCCCGCAGCGGCTGCACGCCTGTGTGAGCCCGGGTCTCTGGGTCTCTGGTTCCGCAGCTGCAGGGAGCAGACAGAGGACTCGGCCCCGCCTGAAGGAGGGCTTCCTGTCCCGGAAACCAGGGGCAGGTAGGGCTGCAGAGTTCAGCTCCACCCCAGTCAAACCGAGCCCACTGAGGAGATCTGAAATGTACCTGAACAAATACTTCAGGTGTCGAGTTTAGCTCCGCCTCTTTTCTCACACAAGATTTTGAATGAAAAGGTTTTGTTTTTTGCTTCTTTTTTTTCCCATTCTGGCTGAATTTAAACTTGGCTGAAAGGTGCACTGACCCATAAAACAACACAAACACATTTTATTTATTTACTTTTAAAAAAATTGCCATTAGAATAAAACAAACAGTGTCATATAAAATATGTAAATGAGCTTTATGTTTTTATTTCTCAAAAATATTAAAGGCACTCACTGCAAAGTACGAAATCTAAAAAAAAAATCCTGAACTGTATGAAATGGTGCAGTTTGAGTTTACTGATGTGTATTTCTGAAATGCGGGTCTGCGCTCAATGTAAACAAAACATTGTGCCAAAAACTTCTTGAAAGCTTAACTCAGCTAAATTCGTCAGAGCATACGGTCTAACTAACTAGTTTTTTTTCCCACAGGTGGACAAAAGTTGTACAGTTTCGGCTTTTAAACCTTTCCAGACGCTACAGAGCTTTTATTTTGAAAACTAGGGTGTCAGACGACTTCCTCTAGTCCTAACCTTTAGTTTGCCTCTTTTATTGTGCGTGCACATCAGCAGATGAACATTAGATCCTAAAAATATGAGTAAAACTAAAAAAAACTCCACGTGTCTTCTAAAGCCAACCTAACCAACCTCAGCCACTCCTGATAAATAGACTCTTTAAAATATTTAAATGGAGGGTATTATGCAAAATCAACATTTCTGAGCTTTATATCATGTTCTAATGTCATTCCATCTGTTGCTTTGACTCATTCATACATGTTTGAAAAATCCTTGAATCTCCTGTGGCCATGTGGAGCTGCCTCAACACTTGCTGGTACCCAAGCATTGTTGTGAAGACGTGTTGAAGTGGGAGTGTCTGAAATGGTAGGAAACAGAGACCATTCAAGGCATTTAGATTGTGATATATACAGCGTTAATAGTTGATCGTGCTATAAAATTGAACTACGTGTCTGGAAAATACACAAACCTGCCCCCTTTAATGAGATTTTTATTCAGAGAAGATGTTATCTTAAGATAGACCTTACCTGCAAAAATGATGAAGCTAAATTGATTAGAGTGTGAAATAGTTTTTGCTCTTAAGCTGATCTGTAAAGTATTCTTCACGTAAACCCACGTTTATCATTGGACAATTAAAATGTCTTTACTCTTAAATAGCTTATCAGTACATAGCATCAAACCTTCATTAAATACGGCACACAAGCACAGACTTTTATTGTGTGAAACATTTTCTGCTGACGAATCAAAACTTTTGTTTAAATTTCCAAACAAGGTTTTTTTATTTAGTTTTTCTTCTTTCTGCTGCCTTTTATTTCAATTGTGATTTGTGTTTTATTAGTTATTTTTTATATATAGAATTTGTTTTGTTTTTAAGTGAAATGAATAAATGATTTAAACTAAATCAAACTAATTTTTGTGGATTTAACAATGTGCTTTATGCTTTTCAAACCTTTGTCCTTTTGATGTGATTAGTCTGACCCTGCTACGTTACTTTGTCTGCTCGTGTTTTGCTTCGTGTTAGAAAAACACCAGGATTTGTTTGTTGGAAATTATCGAGAGACGACGACAGCCTCCATCAGCGAGGTCATTCTGYGGTGCCGTGCAGCCAGGCCAGCTGATAGCCTGTGTCCCCACCCAGCAGCTGCCTTCGACACGGCCGCAGCAGCTTTCTGTCACATTGTGTGTCAAATGTCTCCTCTTACGCAGGTGAAATCAGAAGATAAAATAGATTTTAAAGTAGAAACAACTGAAGAAATTATATTTTCTGCCAAAATACACTGAAGAAGAAACTTAGTGAAAGCTAAAAGAAGCAKAACATTGAGTATACAATCAAAACATTAGCTAAAAGTAGCAACATAGCTAAAAGTTTAATAAGTAAAACTCATAAAAGGTTAGTTAAACATATGAACAGGAAGCTAAAGGTTGGAGGACTGTAACCAGTGTCTGTTTACTTTTTGTTGTTTTTGCCCCCTTTTACCATCAGTACCCCTGCCCAAAGAATGACACTTAAATAATCACAATTACACCTAAAGTGGWAATGGAAGACGGAATAATTTAATTGTCTGTTAAATCTTTTAAAACGTCTTTAACAGCGGCCCCGCAGGCTCTTTGACGTTTTATTTTTCATTTCTTGTTTATTTTTTTCATTTTCTTTTTCTGTTGACATTTAGTTCTATGCAACAAAACAAACAACAGAAAAATTAAAAACAGTGGGAAAAAAGAACAAAACAAATCCTTGAATAGTCTGTCTCACCTTTGATTTTTCATTCTTGATGTAAAAACTGTATTTTTCCGTCTGAAAACAAAGAAGAAAATAATTAAATGAAGCATTTTCCTTACTTTTAAACAAAACATTTGAATACATCTTTAATCAATTCCTTTGTTGAATTAAAATCATCCTCATCTATTTACGCATTATTGTTATGATCATTATTTATTTATTTATTTGTTTATTTATTTAGCAGGTCAGTGATTAATAACAGTACATTTGTAGCATGCCAGAATTAGTCAAAGGCCAGTTTTCATCTGCATATTGGGGGAAAATCTGCCCCCCTCCCTCATGGTGACCACATTTTAACAGGACAGTCCCCTCTAGTGGTGRATTTTACTTCACATAAAACACAAACCAAGTTACCAAACCCTAAACCAAACATTCTTCAACAACATTTTATGGACAAAGTTAAAATGTTTCACAACAATTAATGTAAGTGAAGTGTGGAGGGCTGAAACTGTCATAATTAGAAGTTTGTTATGAAAATAAAGTMGGCAGTCAGGCAGGAGCAGGATCCATGTGCAGATCTACTGTGCATTGAACTGAAATGAGATAAAAATGAAAGTAAAAGCAAGCTACTGTGCAGAAAGATACACAACAAGACAGATAGTGGTAACATAATGATCCCCGCACNCATCATGACAGACTCGTGCAAAATAAGTGTAGCTCAGCCTGTGCAAATTGACAGCTGGATTCTAAAGTTTCTTGGCTCTATTAGGCCAAGATGCAGAGCTTGCACGTGTGCCAGCCAAACAGATCACCTGACTGATTCTGATCTGATTGTTGCTCCAGTTTTGAATGTCAAGTCCATTTGCTTTCAAGCTTCTCCACAGCAGACCAGTAATCCTCAGGCTTTATGAGGAAGATTGTCATGGTTATCTTGAACAGCTGGTCACAAACAGCAGCTCTGTTCAGTGTGTGCATGGTGTTTGAGGTGGATCAGGGCACTAATTGAACCACTCAAACTCACAGGAACAGCAGGCAGCTATGGAACCAACACATTCAAGGAAACACATTCAAGTCTCCATCCATCCACCCATTTTCTGTACACGCTTCTTCCTTTTCAGGGTTGCGTGGGTCACTGGTGCCCATATCCAGCAG